TTCAACAGAAGAGAGAATCGCTGTAGCACGAGAGCTCCACCTCTCCCCACGGAAAGGTGTGTAGCCGTCGCTGAATAGACCCGCAAAAGCGTCGCTGATGATGCTGTGTTTGCTTGACCGAATGTAGTCCAAGTATTCTTTCAGAATAAGGTAGGTGATTGACGCCAAAACAACCTTGAATCTCCACTTGGGTGGCAACACTGACATGGCATCAGCCCGCATGAACAGAGGCAGAAGCATCGGCGCCAAGGGGTGTCCGGAGGAGTCGGGGAAGCCGGTGGTGTGAAGTTTCCAGGGCAGCTCTCTCCGTCAGGAGATCATCACCGTTCAGCCGGCCCAGAGGCGAGGAGGCGGATCGGAGTGGCTCACCGCCCGTCACACTCCCTGCCAGAAGGTGCAAAATTCTACCAAGGCATGGAGGGCCACGCTAGCTGCTATGGCAACGAAGATTCAGGAGCCGTCAGGTCGGCGGCAGAGCCGATGATCAAATGCGCCTCTTCCGGATACCCTCTATCTCAAAATGGCTTCAGTGCAGATGAGCACCACCTTCGCTCGCATCGTCTTGCAGCACAGGATTACTCCTGCCAGAGCGCGTACGAAGCGGGGTCTGCCGCTGGGCTACCATATGCAAACCGGGCCGAGGTGCGGTCCCACGCTGCGCCTATGCTGCCAGACCCTCAAAGTGATCGTCCAGCAGCGCTGTTACCTGTGCATAGAACAGGGAGAAGTAATTCCACCAGGACCCGTCCTCCTCATTCTGGAAGCAGCGCAAGCTCGCGTTTCTCCTTTCCACTCGGACCCACTGCAACGCCAGCTTCGAGCACCTTCCCCTACGTCGTGCCCAACAAAGCAGCACTCAGGCTGACTAGATCCGAAACGTGGTTTACTTTCTCCTGCGGTCCTAAAGGTCCATATGATTCACACTACCGTCAAGGCTTTGAAAGTCAGAACGCTGGCGCCGAGGAGGCTCCAGCAATGCCGGCATTCTGGTCCCAAAAGAGGATCGGGGTCGCAACGCTAGCAGAGAATTTTGATCGGATGACAGCTTCCGCTACTCAGCCAGGA